AAGAATGGCCGGAATTTTAGAGGGTATGGCAATCAAGGGTATATAGTGCTAGTTTTTCACCTTTTCGAATTCCTCTTGTGAACTGCTGCAGTTTTTCTCATTGTACGCATTTTTCACGCGTTGTACGAATTGGAACGCCTCTGATTGTAATGGGAACATTTGTCTCACGGTTCATGTCCGAGATATATTCGATCGCGATTCTGTTCGACCAGTCATCACTAATGTCTTTCTATCATATGTGACATTTTCTGAATGATTTGTAGCCAGTTCTCTCCACAACTGCTCGAGATTAATCTGTTCGTGCACGAGACTTTACACCTTGCCCCAGTGTAATTATTTATTTAAATATAATTTATTCAGTTGCTACTATCCAGTAAAAATGCAGCTCCTCGTGGTGTTACTTCTTGCTGCTTTCGTCTGTACTGTTTGTAAGTTCATATTCCTTATCATTTCTTTTTGTTGAGACATTATCGACTTCACGACTGAAGGCGAGCCTGGTGTTGTATAGGAGTAGGCAGCTACTTTCATGTCGTGCGTGCGACGCTGCGGTATCACGCGCGCGGCATTCGCACCAGCTCCTCATGGTGCAGTGATTCAACGTGGAAGTGATGCAGTAAGCGAGGTGAAATGTCAGGAAAAAGATAGATAGTTCTCACGCGTGGCTGCATCCTGCAACGGGGCATGCCGTATGTTGGGGACCTCCAACGAAGGGGTCGTATTTGTTTGTTATAAGGAAGGGGGGGGGGGGTGTCCGGGCCTGGAAAAAGTGTTCTCGACGTTGTTTTCTCTTGGGCTTCCAGTGTCATGTAAGCTATGTATGCTTCCCCGATCCCCTTGGCTGAATGGCGGTTTTTCCTCTCGAAAGAAACTAGAGATTAGGTAAATCGGTAGGGAAAAATGGTAGAAAGTTGGGAAATTTAGGAAGATGGTAAGTCAAATGGGGGATAGGAGAGGAGAAGTAGTCGTACCAAACAGGGAATCTCGGGGAAAGGTTGCGTTTTGCAGAATTTTTTCCAGTGGCAGCAGTCATTATATTAAAGGGGTAACACTGGATTCTCACAATTTCGTAACTACATATACCATGATTTATGCTTATTGAACGACTGGTTTAAAGGCATAGAGCATGAAAATTGGTGCTCGGTCTCAAATGGAGGCAGGGGTGCTATATAGCGGGAAAATGGCCAAAAACAATCTGAAGCGCTTTGAAACCTGCAAAAAAAGCCTCTGTTGTACACGACTCAGTAAGCAATCGGACGAGTTTCCCGCCGGCATCGTGCCAATAATTACGGTGGATGCGGCTGCATGTATGTACTCATATATCATGCAGCACCGCAGCCGCTTCATATCAATCCCTTCGCTTCATATTGTACTTCGCAAATGAAGCAATAGGAGCATCAGGTACGGTCGTCCATTTGTGGGGAGGGAGGAGGGGGGGGGGGCTTTAGGCGTCGGGTCGCTATGTTGCAGCTTGATGGAGTGCTATAAGGGTACCCACTTGAAAAGGCGTCCACGCAGCGCCTGCTCAGAGACGCCGAATTCTGTCCTGCTACGAGTATTCCTACACTTCCTGGGGATTTATCGCCCACTTATGTCATCTAGTGCTGGACAGAG